CAACCACATATGTTGAGTGTACCCCTTTGCCACCAACTGAGCCTTTGATTGTTCTCTAATGTTGTCAAGCTGGTATTTCCAGTGTAACCCATCTACAACTAAGAACCTACTTTCTTGGAAGCAAAGAAATGAGCAGATATGCATCTTTCACGTAAGGCTTCAATCTCCTCATTGTTAACTCTTTCAACTAGGTGAATGGAATACCCCTTTGCCACCAACTGAGCCTTTGATTGTTCTCTAATGTTATCAAGATGGTATTTCAGTGTAACCCATCTACACCTAAGAACCTACTTTCTTGGAAGCAAAGAAATGAGCAGATATGCATCTTTCAGGTAAGGCTTCAATCTCCTCATTGTTAACTATTTCAACTAGGTGAATGGAATGCTTGACAAGTGAACAAGGAACATCAAAAGAGGAAAAAGAAGGAACAAGGGAATGTGAACTTGGAGACAAATGAAAAAATGCATGACATGTTGTATAGGATGAAGAAAGCATGAGATGTTTCTATTGAATAATAGTGGGAGAATTTGTTGACTCTTGCCTTTGGATGATATCCTTGTAATTGTTTAGCAACTAGCATAGCGGGTTTAACAACAAATACTGGCACACAAGTAATCGGCAAAGGTATTGACGAGGATTTACAATAATACCATTGTCTAAAGCAGAACCTTGGGAGCTCAACTGACTACTTATGCTTTTCACATTCTAAGCATCAAAATAGCATATCGATGGGTAGTTATTAACATTTACTAGATTTTCTGGATTGCGATTTGTTTTATTGGACCTAATTAGTTTGGCGGAATCCCTTTAGAATTCTTCCATGATCTCAACTATATACTGGTGTTTGGCTTTGAACCAGAAGCCACGGTAGGAAATTCAACTTAGGAAAGCAACCTGATGTCGAAAACCCCATGACCGCAGTGGCTTAATGTCTTATAAATGTTGGGTGTGAGTTGAAGTGATCTTGAGGCGCACACATGGTTGTTGTTGTGGTGTTGTTACTACCACTATTACTAGGAATACTGTTTGCTTCTTCTTCTTCTTGTTTTGGAATTTCTGCCAAGTGAATCTAATGTAAAGGGACTGGTGGGTGTGTTAGACCGTTACCCAAGGCTCTGATATGCCAGAGTACAAGCAGTTAACTTACACCTAGAGGGGTGGTGAATAGGTGTCATGAATATTATTTTGCAATTAACTTTCATATTACCGTTAATCCTTGTTTAAAATGTAGTTAAATAGTTTGCTTACGTGTCCCAATTGCTATTATATAAACACATAAAGTAATAAATAAAATAAAATAGAGACATTATGTGAAAAACTCGAATGGGAAAACCACGAGACCTTGTTGAGGTAGATCAAAATCCACTTTATTAGAGAGAGGTTGCACCATTACAAACTAAGTTTACAGACTCTAACCCAAGAATCATCTAATCCCTCCTGACTACTTGCGCAAGATCTCCCCCGATCCTCCACCCGTTGATCCTTCAACAGACTCGCTCCTCGCTCAATCTGCGTCTCCATGGACTTTTGATCTGCACAACTAGTGACATCCGATCAACTTGTTCTTGCGAACCACTCGGTTGATGCTCTGATGTCAATTCATTTCCTTACTTTGATTCTCTCAATCACACAGTGTCACGGGCCTTAAGTTTCGTGCGCAGCAGGACGGCCCGTGCGGCACCCCTCGCAGGGCTCAGCCTAACACGACCTTCCCATAGACTTCATGCGAACTAGTTTCGGCCTGCCTTGGCTCTCCTCAGAGGAACGGCTCTAGTTCCCGACCAGTTTGTGCAGGCGATGGCAAATGCCATCGTGGAGGCCCTGCACGCCCCTTCCCTGGAACTATTCAAGTCAAGTGCTTCCGCCTACCAGACAAGAATGTATGTCGTCCATGCAGCACAGCGTCATACAGAGTTTTACCCCTGTAACAAACCACCCCCACTTAAACCTTGCGACGCCCTTGTCGCAACCTTGGGTGAACACCTTTGCCAAGGCACCCAATGAACTTCTCTAAAGCTACCCGCTGGTAAAGAGAAACCTTTGGTATGCGTGGCCCTCTGGTCCTTCAATGCGCAGATTCATGAGATGCTTATGCAGTGCTTACTGGGGTTGTGAAGACTCCACCTTCAACATCAGGTCAAACGCCAATGTGCGTCTTACTATATTGCCCTCGGATCACAAAGAGCAGCACCTCGGTGTGCTGTCTCCCTTTGGCTCTGATACAATTGTCACGGGCCTCAAGTTTCGTGCGCAGCATGACTGCCCGTGCGGCACCCCTCGCAGGGCTCAACCTAACACGATCTTCCCATAGACTTCATGCAAACTGATTTCGGCTTGCCTTAGCTCTCCTCAGGGGAACGGCTCCAATTCCAGACCAGTTTTTGCAGGCGATGGCAAATGCCATCGTGGAGGCCCTGCACACCCCTTCCTTGGAACCATTCCAGTCAAGTGCTTCCGCCTACCAGACAAGAATGTATGTCGTCCATGCAGCATAGCGTCGTACAGAGTTTTACCCCTGTAACACATAGTATGGTAATCTATGAAGAACCCCCTAGATTGATTCTCAAAGTTCTCTCTCTCTCTCTAAATATATAAATTATCTCAGTAATACAATGAGTTGAAAAGTCCTACGAGAGATACCCTAGAATGGCTAAACCCCATATTTATAGCCAACATAGGAAATCCATGTAATATGGTAAATAAAATCCTTTTAGGATTCTGATTTAAGATAGTTTTCCCATAAAAGTGTGCACACGGGGTTTAATCAATCGAGCACTACTAGATAAGCTTCGATCGATCAACACAATCTGGATTTGAAAATATCTTTCTGAAAAAATCCCAATGGATAAAGCGTTTGATCGAGGTTTACTATTTTGTAGAAGTTCTTGTTTTGAAAATCATTTTATTAAAAACCCAATTTTGGTAAACATGATTAAAACATAATTTTGAGCCTTCTGAAGATCATACCTAGGTCATAGTTGGTTTCTTTGGGCTCGACTTAACTTAGATTTGTGATTAGTCTTGAGAGATTTCCGGCATACTCTTTGCTGAGCTCCTAGGAAGCACGGATACTCCAAAATGGGCGAAGAATCCGTGTCCGACACGTGTCGGACACGGACACGCGTCGGACACGCCCCGACACGTGTCGGACACGCCAAAAAACGTGTTTGGAATTTTTTTATTTTTTTTAATTTTCGGACACGACTCGGACACGGCATTGACACGGCTCAGACAGCTCGGACACACTTTTCTAGAATTTTTTTTTTTTTTTTTTAAATTTTTAATGCTGATATGTTAATTTTTTTTTTTTTTTTTTTAAATTTTTAATGCTGATATGTTCTATTTTTTGTTTCTTACTACCCTAAACATGCTGATATATATATATACTAACCTAAAGATGCCACAATTCGCAGTGTCCGTGTCCTAAAGATGCTGATATATATATATATATACTAACATATTAGTGATATATATATATATATATATATATATATATATATATATATATATATATTCCAACCTAAACATATCAGTGTTTTTTTTTTTAAAATTATTAATGCTGATATATATATATATACTATTCGCCGTGTCCGTGTCCTAATTTTTTTGGATTTGCCGTGTCGCCGTGTCTGTGTCGTGTCGTATCCGTGTCCCGTATCCGTGTCCGTGCTTCTTAGCTGAGCTCCATCTCCATCATCTTCTATGGTTGTAGACTAACTCACAACATTGACACACATTACAACCCAAGTTTTGAGTAGAAAATTGCCAACACATGGACCATTTTGCCATATGCACTGCAACTCAACTTGACAAAGGTTTGTCCCGACTATTATCTGGAGACTGGATCGGCTAAGGATTCATGTCATAAGGGGTCTAACAATGATTTTATGCGCATTGTCATGGGGGTGTAATAGATAAGACCCTAAAAACAATGCAGATGGAGTCTTTTGCTATTTTTGGTCACTTCTAAATTTGAGTATAGAAGTTAGGGCACAAAGCTCAGTAGATCTTTAGTGTAAACATTGTTTGTTGACAACATTGGAACTGGAGGCTACTATCTTTCCTGTAGAAGGGGCAAGGGGGGTCCCCTATTTCTCTGAAACTATGTGGTTAGTTAGTGTTGTCTACCTCGACTGTCAAGAAGAAGTAGGTTATCGGCAAGTTGTCATACCATGTTATATTTATTATATGCATGTATACATTTTAAATAGTATTTAGTATTACATTGGATGTCTGCCTAACATATTGGATATGTAACGCTAACCACCCTGAATTGACAGTATTTATTCATTTAAAACTTACCAAATCTGCAGCTAAAAGATAACGGGGATAAATGAGACATATTGCCTATATGGAAGCAGTAGAGTGAATTCACAGAAGTACCCACCGAGAGTAGCAGTCTCTCTCTATATATATACATGTATATATATATATGTATGTATGCATGTGTATTTGTTCAACAGTGTGTTTATAGACTTGCAACTGTAATTGTGCATTTACTTCCAGTCTTGCTGAACAAACATAGTGGAAATGACTTCTGCTGCATTTTTAGGAAAATATAAGATCATACTGACATGAAACGTAATGTAATCTGGACAGATCCTAAGAAACGAATTGCGTCGGCCACCAAACATGCTTGATTAGGAGGTTTAAAGACCTTACCAAACATTAGTTTTGTATCTGGAAGTAAATTTTTGCTGATTCAAACCACTTGAGTATAGCCCTATCTGGGCCCATCATCTATTTGCAAAACTTCCGATTAAGTTTTCATATTACGTCCAGTTGTCAATTAGTTCTAGTAGATATTTCTTCACTACCGAGATTTTTTTACATTTTTGTGCTGCATGAAAAGAAGCATATAGACTGTTTTAGTTTGTCCCTTACTTTTTTGGTTGTCAATCACGTTGCTATCATCTTTTGAAGAACATAATCTCTCTAAGAAACATCAAATTCCATGCATATATATCTTCACTATTTGGTGTTGGGACTCTGGATGGCAGGTTAAGGTCGTGAAATGCATGGTGCAGAATGTAGCAGTAGACATCTCTTTCAATCAAATGGAAGGGCTATGTACTCTATGCTTTATTGAGCAGGTTTGATCTGGTTTCACCGATAAGATCTGAGTGAGTTGATTAACATAGTAAAAAAAGCATGAAACATAGAATTTGGAAATCATTTAACAAAATTTAAACAATAAGATAAATTCTTTTTTGAAAGTATTGACAATGTATATTATATTAGATGATCTTCCTCTTTTTTTGTACGTTGTTTTCATTTTTATTTTTTAGCTTTCGTCTTTTTTAATTTATTTATTTCTTTCCTAAGAAGCATAGTCACTTCCTCAAAGGTGTTGTATCCATATAGGACACACTGTTTATATGAAACTTGGTGAACGTGTCCACAATTTTAAAAGTAAGTGATTATTTTGGACACTTAGTTGAAACATCTGAGACACTTTCCATTTATAGCTTCTGTAGCAAACACATACTAATAGGAACCATGTAAGACAACGTTGAAGTATCCAAACTTTAAATAATAATAATGATAATAATAATAATAGAGAAGAAAAAGAGAAAGGAAAATTGATATTGTATACACTGCTGCATGTAAAACATACAATGGATACTTTTTAAAATAGATCAAGTTAAGAGAACATTATAGGAAGATAGTCACGCGTATAACATAATAATCTTTTTGCTATTTTTTGAGCTTCATACAAAAGTTCAAAAAATTAACTGAAGTTGCATAAATCTGTTATATAATATATGTTTTTATATAAAAATAACATAAATTACCATGTTCATTCGTGTCACCCTCATAATTTTTAATATTTGTCATATTGGTGTATTTGTGTTATATTGTGTTCATGATTTGTGCTCATGCCTGTGCTACTCAGGTTTTTGCTAATTTTGAGTTTCTTTTTTCTGATTTATTGGTGGTATTGGAACTTTTTTATTCTTTTCTTGTTTGTCTCTACTTCAATTAGTTCTCCATTGTCTTAAAAGGTAAATTTCTTAACAGTTCAAAAATTGATATAATTATATGTTCTTTCTTTTGCTTTAGCTATCAGTTACTGACTTGGTATTATTATCTTTTTTGTTCTTTAACCATTCCTCAATTTAGCTCAATAATTAATGAAACATTCATCTCTCTCTCTCTCTCTCTCTCTCTCTCTCTCCCCTCTGGTGTATCTTACCATGTTGCAGATGAACAATAATGCTTTTATTGAAGTTTCACATATCTCTTATGCTTTCTTGTAGGTTGACCGACTTATTGGGAAAGATCATCTTTTCAAACGCAGTATTATCTTGATTAAAGCTTGGTGCTACTACGAGAGCCGAATTCTTGGTGCACAACATGGCTTGATCTCAACATATGCATTGGAAATATTGGTCTTATATATAATTAATCACTTTCATTCTTCATTACATGGCCCTTTAACTGTGAGTTCCTTTCGGCTCAGAATTTTCCGTTAGTCCTCCATTTCTGCAAACTGACCATGTTATTATATTTACAGGTCTTGTATAGATTTTTGAACTATTATAGCACATTTGACTGGGACAAATACTGCATTAGTTTTACTGGCGCAGTCGTCATATCATCTCTTCCAGAAATAGTGGGTGAGTTGTTTTAATGAGTATGGCCGTCATGAGGGCATATTCATCATGTTTGTTACTTGCTCTCCTTTTATTGTGTGATTCCTAGATTTTAAAATTGGGCAACAAAAAGAAATCCTGTATGATGAAATATGGACCAAATTAACTCTTCATGCGTTGTACTTCCTGTCATATCCTTATGTAGCTAGTCCCAAGCCTGATAACAGAAGGTTGCATTAGGTCGTTGATAGATAGTATATCACCTTTGTCAACCCTTTATAAACATGAATCTTGAGAATGTTTATAGTGGGATGTTTTTCCTCAATGGCATGTTCCATCAACTCTCATGTGCTTTAGGAAAGTAGGTAAAAGGTGCCAAGTGCATACCTGCATGCGGTGAAATATAAACCCGTGCTGCTCAGGATGATTGATGGGTAAAGAAGCTCGTTCAAAATGGTGGGCTTAAATTTGTGACCTTAGAATATTTTGACTTTTACAGGTTATAGGATGGAAGTGGCAGACACAATTAGAAGGAGAGTTACTGTAGCATGCCCATAAGAAACAAAGTGGGTTAGGAAAGAATGGAATTGAAAATATAGGATTTAATCAGAGTACTTAGAAGTAGAAATTGGGTATGAATAATAGTGGATAAAAATATAAATGTAGTTGTAGTTACTAAAAAGGGTATATGTAATAAAAGTTGTATTGGAAGAAAATCGAAGTTAATATGCTTTGCATTTATGCACCTCAAATAGGATTAGACAGACGCATCAAAGCACAATTTTGGGGCATATTTATGAATTAATTTATGATAAAGAGAATATATATGGTAGACTTTAGTGGATATGTAGGAAAAGAACATAAAGACTACGGTGGACATAGGCTTGGACAGGGGCGGAGCCAGGATTGCAAAGTAGGGGGTGGTAAAGATAATAAGAAAATTTGAAGATGAACACAATAATTCTTATGATAAAGATATGTTATATATATTCAAAAATAGACCAAAAAACGATGATGTTCTCATATATCAAATCAAGTTTTTTAGGGGATAAAAATTAAAAATCACCTAAATAGAGTTTCCTGATCTAAGAGAGATTCTTCTTCTTCTATGTATTCTTTTCACTGATTTTTTATCTATATGTGTTAAAAAATATGAGAAATTGGACCGCTCTCAAGTCTGTGCAATTTCCTTGCTAGACTCCCAAACAGGGTTCTCATGAGGGAAAATACCACTGCGTATTGAGAGGAAGTGGCTGAAGAGCAATAAAAATTGATTACATATCACATATAGATTGGGTTGTTAGGAAGAGGAAGAATAGTACTATGGATTGGGCTAAATTGGGTTGATAGGAAGAGAAAGAGTAGTACTAAAAAGTGATTGCATATGGAATGGGCTGATAAGAATAGTAATACTAATTTTTTAAAAAAAATTGGACCTGGGCTATAGCCCAGGTTAGCCCATTAAAACCTCCGCCCATGGATTTAGAGATACGAATAATGATATAGTGGTATCCTAAAATTTGCAATGACGTGTCATCTCATGTTTGTATTGCCTCTTTTAGAAGAAGAGTAAAAAATTTAATCACTTCTAATAGTGGACCAAATAGGAGTCAAATAGGTTTTCTTTTCAAACTAGAAGAGTAAATTAACTAGTGTGCTAATAGTGTAAGATTATTATAGGAGAAAGTTTGACTTCCGAACACTATTTTGACGATTTTAGATACATGTTTTAAAGGAGAAAAAAGAGAGAAAAGAGATTAAAACCCAAGAACCAGGTAGTGGAAATTAAAAAGATAAAGTAGAACTATTAATTGAAAAAAAAAAAAAAAAAAAAACCAAAAGAAGTAACATGGAACTAAGAAAGATTGAATAAATGTAACATGGAATGAAATGGCAGAATTTGTTAAATAGAGTATCTTAAAATATTCATAGAGAATTAAAAGGGAAGAACATAAAAAAAAAAATAAATAAATAAAAATAAAAATAAAAAAATATTCTTGGAGAACTAAAAGAATAAGGGTCACTACTTTTTTGCCATAAGATTTCATAAAAGTCGCTCGAGAGGGGAGCGCTCCCAAAAGAATACACAAGATGCCAAAGGCGACAGCTAAAACTTTATGTTATCCAAAAGATCCCTTAAAGATTTACAATTATGACCGTTAACCCAAAAAAATAAAGTGTACAATATACGAACTTCCCACATATTTGGAACCCATCTAAAGAAGATCTGACCTGTACTTTGCCTGAGTGAGATAGTAACCATCAGCAGCTGTAGTGATCCATTTTCTTTGTGGTGAACGTGGTTACAGCCGATTTCATGGATTATACTGTATTTGAGAGACCAAATAGGAGTCTCCTCTCATCAAAGGATCTCATATTTCTCTCACGCCACAAACCCCACCATAAACAAAAGGGAGTGGCCCTCCAAACATCCCTGGGTCGGCTCTCCACTAGACACCCTCTCCTACCCTCAATCATATCCACAGTGGTTCCTTGGAAAACCCAAGACATGCCAATGCAACCAAAAAAAAGACTAAACATTCTTCGCCACCGGGCAGTGAAGAAGGAGGTGATTCACTGTTTCCTCCGTCTTCTTGCATATACATCACCAATTAACCACAATCTGTTGTCTCCTTCTGACATTATTGAGGGTGAGAATGCTACCGAGAGTTGCAGACCAAGCAAAGAAAGGCACCTTCAAGGGAGCTTTTGACCTCCAAATCACCTTCCAAGGGGAAAAAAGGACCTGGGAACACCGTCAAACTGTGGTAGAACACCCTAACCTCGAACACCCCTCTTGGCGTGCAGGATTCTTCGAAAAAGCTATGGCTGACTCAGAGACCTGGGACCTTGGCTTAGCAACGAGTGAAGGGAAGCTCGAAGAGCTTTCTCCGCCAGCGGCTTATGTAGTGGTCGGCCTTCTAAAGCTCGCTAAGCTTCGCTTCCCCCTTCCCTTATGAAGTGGAAAGTTTTCACTTAGTAGTCGGCATTCTATAAGCGACTTGTCGAGTCTACGAAGCTTTGCTTCTTGTAGTCGGCCCGTAATGTCTCCCTTCATTTGCTTGCCTCCTTCCAGCTCAGAGCCTATTATCTAGTGCGTTAAGCTAACCGCCAGAAGCTCACCCTTCGGGCTTCCAGCGCAGGAGGCCAAGTCAACCTCCTGCTATCAAGCTGATAACAAATGGCAACCAGAGCATGTTTAGTGGAAGAAATCCTGAAAAGCTGAGGGAACCTACAAACCAGAACAAAATCCTCACACCAGCGGTCCTCCCAAAACCCAACGCAACTCCCATTCCAAACTCTGAATCAGATACGTTTAGAAAACTCATCCCCCACCCCTTCCGGATAAGCGTCCAAACGCCCATACCTACTGGAGTTCTCCCTTCCCTGGACAACCACCCAACATCTCCCCTCCTCACACTGGCAGACAATGACCCTCCTCCTGCTCCCAAATCTCCATAGCCATTTGCCCAACACCACCTTGTTGAACAAATCCAATCTTGGAACGCCCAAGCACCCTTTCTGAATAGGGGAACACAAGTTTTCCCAGTTCACCAAGTGGTATTTGAACTCATCCCCAATACCACCCCATAAAATGTTCCACTGAATCTCATCCAACCTTCAAATAATAGACTTCAGCATTGGGAAAAGAGACATGAAATGGGTTGGAAGGTTTGAAAGAGTACTTTTCAAAAGGGTAATCTTTCGCTCTTTTGAAAGTTACTGCTTCTTCCACCCTTTGAGCCACCTCTCAAACAGCTCGATCACAGGATCCCAAACTGAAGTCCTCCTCGACACTGCTCCCAAGGGAAGCCCTAACTAAGCAATCGGGAGGACACCACACCCAAGATTGTTAGCTAAATACTGAATTTCCTCAACTGCCCCAACTGGAACCAACTCACTTTTCCCGATGTTGATCTTCAGCCCCGAAATAACTTGGAAGCAAAAGGGAGGAAGTTCGAGCTATAGTAAAACTGAAGTACCGTACTAAATTTGGCTTAAAGAAATAGAAATTAATAAAGTTTTGAAAGGTAAAATATGTAAAGAAGCAAAAATGTAAGAGATGCCAAGTATAGAGCACACGACGATATCTATTCTAAATCAAATATAAAAGCTGAATAGAAGATTATCTAGAAATTATTCAGTAAAGTAAATACAAATTAGTGTTTATAATCATGTTAAGTGCATAGATTTCTCTGCTCTCACCACTAAATCTACTGGAATGTTAAGTCACAACTGAAATTGAATGAACTACTAATTCAATTGATTTGACATCTTTCAATGGAAGTTTCCAATGCGTGGATGTATAATTCTGATAGTAAGATGTTGAAATTATAGAAAGAAAAATACTTTGAAAACTGTGCTTTAGGTAATATGGTAACTTTAAGGAGATTAGAGAAAATAATCTTTTCTTAAGATCTGGATAGGAGGTAAAGAAGTGTATTGAGAAAAATGAAATAAGGACTTTAGGAGTAGATGTTATAAAGCGAAAAAGTCACAAATAGATATAATAATATGAAGAGAAAAAATAAAAAAAAGACATGCATGATGGAGCTGTGACTAAAATTAATTTTCACTAAAAAACTTGCTGTAGACTTAAGTCAAAGATCAATGTTAAGTCACTATTTTTTGTCTTGATTATGGTTGAACCAGCTAAACACATTCAAGATGAGGTTATATGATGCTTTTTTTTTTCTTTTTTTTTCTTTTTTCTTAATTGGTACTCACACACACATGCCTCCATGGAGGCTCGAACCTGACCTCCCTTTGGGAAGTAAGGGCCTGGTACCGCTAGGCCACTGGCCTGTTGGTGGTTATATGATGCTTGTTATTGTCTAATAATATTATTCTAAGTATAAGTGCTAAATCAAAGTTTGGAAAGAAGCCTTGTAATTAAGAGGGTCTAAAATAGGTAGATATAAAACTGAATTTAAAAAATTACAAATGTGGTTGTATCAAGAGTCAACAAAAACTAAAAAGAAAATAGTTCCAGTATATAGGTTTTGATTGTTTACAAAGAGGGAGGACTGGAGATGATTTTACTCGTACAATTAAAGTGGGGTGGATTAAGTAAAAAGTGTTCCTGATGTATTGTGTGATTGGCATACACTGTTCAAACTGAAAGATAAATGCCATTAAATAGTAGTCAAGATTTATAAAATGAAATAACAAAATTAATGTGGCGAAAATCTTGGTGTCGAGACAGAGGTGTGGCTAGAAAAAAAATGACAAAATTAGAACGAATACATTCTTGAGACTGGAATTGAAATCTAGGGGAGATAAATTGATAGAGAACTGATTCGAATGATTTGATCGTGTGTAGTGAAGACCAGATAGTCCACATGGAGATTAAGGATAGGAGAATGAAAAGACTAAAATATATTTGGATGAGATTATAAGAAAGGGTAGCGTGTGGTTTGAGTGAAACTATTGTCTTAGAAACAGCAGAATGATAAAACATTTGGGATGAGTCTTTATTTAGTTGAGTTGAATTGGGCCTGTATTTAATTAAGGGCATGACGTGTGGATTTAAGGAGATGTCAAACGAGACTTTGGCAAAAAGATTTTTGATAGCTCTTCCCTGTATAGTTGTGTGCATCATCTAATTGGTTCATTTGCCACTAAATTAAGACTTGAAAACCTATTTCTCCCTTACATATATATATATATATGTATATATATTTGTTTTTGCAGTAAAGACACCAGAAAATGGTGGGAGTGACTTATTGCTCGCTGAGAAGTTTTGGATGAACAGCGGAGAAGTTTTATTGGTTCCAACGAGGACACCTGAGACTAGATTACAAGCATTTCCTGTGAAGCATCTTAATATCATGGATCCTCTGAAAGACGACAATAACCTGGGGCGTAGCGTCAACAAAGGTATTTGACCTTTTTCTCCTATTAAAGTGGCTTTTGGTCAACTTTATAGGAGATGACACTTAAAAGGCCTGTGCACTTACCATGTTACTTTGTCATACCTGAAATTCTCCAGGAGTTAAGAAATTGGAAACCTTGTCTTCCCCTCCTTTAGGGTCATTTTATGGTTCAAAACTTAAAACAAATTAAGAAGTCGTGCATTTTAATTTGTACTAGATAGTCATAGAATTGGCCCATGGTATTTAACAAACATTGACACATCCACAGTATTGTTCTTGGATAAAATACAAATATATACTGTATTGCAGGACAAGTATGTTCTTTAGAAGTTAAACTTTTTCCTTTTTTGCTTTGTTTTCATAAAGATCCCCGCTACATGTATTCCTACACAAGACTTACTATTCAACTTCATGGTGCAAAACCAATTGGGCAAGCTCTCATAGATTGTATTAGCTAAAGTAAGGAGATTGGGATTGATGATTAGCCATATCAGAAAGACAGAAAATACCTGCATAAAAAAAAGTAAGAGTAACATCAGTCAGGGACAAGATTATATGTCGTTAAAGATGGTTTGATCATGCACATGGAAGAGCAGCTCTACACTTAGGTTAGAGTTACATATTCACTAAGAGTGGTAGGAACAAATGGGATGAAGAGAATGTGGATCATTCTAACTGGGAGCTGTGTGTACTAGACACATGAACAAGGCACTTCCTAGACACTTACGGACAAGTGACCAACCATCTTGGAAATGTCCATATTTAATATAAATCCATAATTTCAGTTGTTTGGCCAATACTTCCTAGAGACACTCAGTAAACACGTGATTGGACTAACATTTGGATTTCCAGATATGGCTTCTTTATTATTAGAAAATATTGTTGTAGGTTTCTCTAAGTTAAGAAAAAAGCTTGATCATAATTAAAAAGAAAAGTAAGATGCATAAAGATTTTATCAAAGCATTGGGGTGGGGCAAAATTCTAAGGTTGAGAAAAAAAGTAAACACTCCACACACAAAGAGCACAAAGATTTATGTGGTTCGGCGTAAAACCTACGTCCGTAGTGAAGATCCAGTGAAAGATTTCAATATCAAAAAATCAGGAGACTACAAGTTTCAGCACCCAAACCTTAGCTCTCTCTCTCTCTTTCCTGTGGTTTTTAGTGTTCTCTTGTAGCCCACTCCAAACCCTAAACGCCTTATATATTGGGTCTATAAGAGAGTAAACATGGTCCAAGACCCGCAAGAGGAAAACAGGTCGAAAAAATCCTTTTGGGTCAGAACTGGGTTGTAACGCAATCCAGGCCTAAACAAAATTCGGGCCACAACATCACAAAACCCTATTTCATTGAAGGTGTTGCGGAATCAGAAAAAAGAACCGGGTTTTGCACAGCTTTCTCATAGTGCAGGTCCAACTTGTATAGCATAATTGGCCGAAGAAGCATTGGAAAAGTTGGAGTGTTTACCTTCTTGGGACTCCATGGACCAAGATCTGCTTTCATTTGATAGCTTGGCCCAAGCTATAGCTGAATGCAAATTAGTTTTCTTACATGCAACCAAGTAGTTTGAATATAGGCTTTATTGATGTTGTTAATGTATTGTATTAGATGTCCTCTCTTAAAAGTTTTTGTTACTTAATTAGCTGATAATGATCCACCCATTTTCCTACAGGCAATTTTCATCGTATACGGAATGCTTTCTGCCTTGGAGCTCGGAAGCTTGGAGAGACCCTTATGCTGCCAGAAGAACACTTGAGTAAAGGTATAAAGAAGTTCTTCAGCTGCACTTTGGATATGATTAGGAGCGGACAAAGGTCAGATGTACAATTTCCTGTCCCGGTGTTTGGTGTTGGAAGTTCTGAGATCTTTGACCTTAGAGGGGACTATGACAATTTCTTTGGTTGTGTGCAATATATCCAACAGTTTCACAGCTATACATTACCCATTCCTGTCCAGCTCATTCCTCCTGCATCTCTTTCTCAAGTCCAGAACAACAGTGTGCAGACGCAGTTAGAAAGGAATTTCTTTCCTACAAGAATCACAAATGATTCTGTCCCAAGTTCATCCTTCCATCCAAATACTCCCCCAAAATCAATTGTCTCTTTGAGCAGTGAAAAAATGGTGAAGTTTCGAGGAACAGGCGCACACATTTCTGCAGTGAAATTTGAAGAGAAGCTGGAATCACGAGAAACAGACACATACATTCATGAAATGGGTGTTGAAGAGAAGTTGAAGGTGCGAGGAATGGGCAAATTCATCCCTGGTATGGGTGTTGAAGAAAAGGTGATGCTGCAACGAACAGGCACATACTTCTCTGATACAGGTGATGAAGTGAAGTTGAAGTCACGAGGAACAGGCACATTCATACCTGTTGTGGGTGTTGATGAGAAGTCAAAGTCACAAGGAACTTTTGCATACATCCAGGATACAGGTGCAGAAGAGAACTTAAAGATAAACACATACCATCCTGGTATGGGTGTTGAAGAAAAGGCAAAGTCACGAGGAACAGGCACATACTCACCTGACTCGGTATAACTTCTTTTGAGTATATATATATAAATATTCATATTTTTTTATTATTGATTATTTAGTATGAGTTGAGCTTCTTTTCTTGCTTCTTCAGTTAGAAGATCGACTTTCCTATTATCTAGTACTTTCTCCTGAAATTTTGCAGAAAAGGAATTCCTACAGGCAGAATATCTGGGGAAGGGGAAGAAATGTTGAACCTACAACTCAAGGTTTGTTGCCGAAACCTATGAACACTGAGCAGATTGAGGTTTCCTCGGAGACAGACAAGGATGGAAGCAGCAGATGCTTTGATCTATCACTAGAAGAATTCCCACTTCTTCCAGTTATTAAGAAGGCCATCCCATCAGCAAACTCCAAGTTTGGTCAGCCCACTAAGTCCCCCCAGGCCAAAGAATCTTTACCCCAGCTGGGGAGCATTGAGTTTGGCAAATTGGGGCTTTTTTCAACTGTGGACACTACTCCATGTGCCCTGACAATTACAACTCAGGGGCCACCAGAATCCTCAGAGAGCAATGAAGAAATGTATGGGGTTTCTAATATTTGAAAGTTCTATCTGGATTCGGTATAAACATTTATGTGACATCTAACTTTTCTCATTTTGGATTGTCACTGCAGGGTTGTGATGCAACGATACAAACTAGAAGATGATGAGGACTTCCCCCCCTTATCCGCAGGACTGCACTAGAATGAGCTATTGGTAGGACATAAATTAGTGTCAGAAAACAAAATATAAACTGACTTATTTGTTGTAATTTCTGCTTGCATGGTGACACCCAAACTTCCCAGAATATAATCTGTACTTTTATTTTTATTTTTTTATTAACCTTAAAATTCTGAACCTGTTTTCCCTTTCACCTTTTCTTGGGTGATAATAAAGGGTAAAGATACTCTATATGCATGAACTTATGCTGATAGAACATGATAAATATTTAGCTATATATATATTTAATGAGACATTTGCAGAGTTCTGTTAAGCATAGCACCCGCCTCTCAGAATGCTGGTGGATTGAAAAATTAACCTGGGATTTCCCCAAGGATGAAGTAAGTACTCTTTACTGATTTATGGAGCCAGTGGTGATCATCTCTAAAGAATTATATTCTAATTGTCTGATTCTGTTTTATTTTATATATTTTTTTCATTTAATGTATTTGACTAGAAGTTTAAGATTTGGGTGTTTGTGTTTTGCATTTTATTATTACATGTTGTTATAGGGGCATGGATGGTTTTTCAAATGAAAAATAAGAATGTGAATTACTATTGTTGCGCAGCTGGGTAAAAAATTCTTGGTGGACAAGTTCTTGCATGAGGGTGGGACCTAGTGATACCAATGGGGCAAGGCTACCTTGAATATGCAAATTGTTGCGCAGCTCAAAATGAAACTCACTCACCTTATTTATACACACACATATACATGTATATATACACTCTGATAGGTGATAGGCGTAGATACATTCTATGTTTGTCAGCCGAGTATCAGATGCTTTGCTGCCAAGGTGCAATATTGAACAATTCATGTATAGGCATCCTCAAGGTAGCTTTAAGCATAATATTAAGCATCAACATATTAATTTTGCAAATCGCAAATCAATCACATTCTATCAGCATTGTTGTAAAGAAACATGAAGAACTTGTCGGGAAAAATATATATATATATATATATATATATATATATATTAAGGTGGGATTCAAACGTCTTCTAAATTTTTGTCATTAAAATGTTAAGGTATTTTGATATTTTGAAAGTGTCACACGGCCACTTGTCATTTTTCTTCAATTCTTTACACTTTTGGACCACAAAAGAGAGATGAATAGATAGGCTATCAGTCCAAATCTATTATTTTTTCTGCTTGTTAACAAATCATATATAAAAATCACTATCCCTCTCTTTTTATTATTTTCCCTTTTCCTTTAATCCAAACCAAGCCTAAAGCACAAAATCTGCATGAGACTACTCCGGATACCGCACGACGTGGATAGAGTCAAATGCAGCCTTACCTTAGCACACGAAGGGATTGTTTCTTTACTTCTAAAGTCAGTTGGAATGAAACAATTTTACACTTGCGCCAAGGCCTTGCCCTTAAATAGATCAACATCCGTAAATTGCTTATATGACCACAAAATCTTTACAATATCAGGTTTCGAACTCTTTTTTTTACTTTTAACTCAACAATTTAAAAATGAAATTTTAATTTTAAAAAACCAATAATCTCTTTGTATAAAAGAACAGTACCCCATCCAAAGGCTCCAGTCTAGTGACACTTTCTGGCCATCCCTAGATTAGGGGTATAAATGGTTTTTCAAATAAAAAATAATGGTTAGATATTCTTGCTAGAATCCTACTTTCAACTGCTGCTTTTACATTATGTTCTTTTATCCCCTGTTCTAGACGCAGCATTGAACAATCCATGTATGGACATCTTCAAAGTAGCTTTAGGCATAATATCAAGCATCAACATATTAATTAATTTTGCAAATCCGAAATCATTCTATCAGCATTGTTGTAAAGAAACATGAAATACTTATCGAGTGTATTGACAATATGCCTCTTCTGGTGGCAAAGCCAAAAAAAAATATCATACTGTGTGTGTGTGTGAGAGAGAGAGAGAGAGCTTCAATACGCGTGGAAATCAGGTATTTTTTGCCCAGGTAATATTTACAGCATGAACAATCCCATCAGCTCCAATAAAAGCTATTACATACCACCACAAAGTTTATATTTGCAATGCATTAGAAACCTAAACATCATAGTTTTGGGGCTCTATTAAAGCAGGATCCCCAAGTTGCCGAACGGTTGCACCAAGCCATTAAGTTGAGCTAGCATCACAGTGTAAACTAAATTTTAGAGTGATACAGTGTCTGAGGAGTGAAAATGTACATCTCACAGTCATGAGAATTAACTCGAGCACTGAACGATGCCACCGCATCTCCAAAAACGTCTTTGTGCTGTAAATAAAATTGAACGAAACATACTTCGAAAGGTCAAAACCTAAATATACTCAAAAAATCATACAAAGTAGTAAATTTAGACCCCTGATCAACTGCTACAAATTACTTTTTTGCTCAAGTTTAAAAGGCATATCGGTCAGGCTGAACCAAGCGCAATCCATTAAACCTAAGCAAGTCCCAACCAAATCGACAGTTCTATAGATTCAAAGAATTTTGAAAAATCTTACCATACAAGAGGAGTGAATTAAGTATAATTTCTAAAGTTCTTTTTCCCCTTTCAAATTAGGGGCAAGTCTTCAGGTTTGAGGTGGGCAATTGACACTGTTAGGCAAAATGATTTGACAAACTAAATTTTTAAAGCCGTGCTCTAAGGAAATCTGAGGGTATTCCTAGATCAACTCTCAAGCCCTAGTCACAAACCAATCTAGGCACTTGGTCCAGGTGTATGTACAGGCAAGTTTCCTCACCTTCCACAAATCTCTTACAGAGACACTGGTAGATGATTCAAGTCCAAGTGCATCCCATCCAGCTGTAATAGTCGCAGCCTTTGAACATCGATTCCAGAAAGCGACAACCAAACGATCTCCAGATAAAGGACCAGCCCAGACCTGAAAGAATAACATTTGTGCTTCAAGTTTACAGAGTTTCTTCTTCTTTCTTTTATAAAGGAATTAAAAAAAAAATTTAAAAAAAATTACCCAACCAAGGAATGCCTTGTATTCTCACATAACATACCTTTAACTAAAAATGTGTTTTAAATTGCATAAAAGGCACCCCCAACCATCCACCACAGCGCCGCCCGTGGTGGTGGTGGTGGTGGTGGGGGGGGGGGGGGGGGGGGGGGGGGGGTGGTGTTTGTGGTGGTGTTGTAAAAAAAACCCAGAAATCCATGCCACTCAGCCCACGCCTTTGAGAAAGGTTTGCTTCCATTTTCAATCTCTTCTTCAACAGGACAAATGGTCAATTACACCCAAAATAAATATGCCTAGCTGAGTTTTATATTTTTTCCATGTTTACTAACTAAACAAGGTGATACAGAAAATTGGAAAATGTCAAAAAGGGTTACCAAGTATGAGAGTGAATGTGCGAGTCTGAAGGGTAGTCACTTTGTGTGATAATACCAAAGGTTGCGTCTATAACGAGTATGCCACTCCCAGCACATTCGATTATAAGAAAGCACACTGGATGATAACCAGAGAATGCTTATGATTAGATCTCAAGGAAGATGTGAGGGATCATTTGGTGGTCAATCTAGATTGTTTCCTTATGGATGCTACAGAAATTGGCAAGGGTAACACGACCATGTAGATCTGCTCAAGAATCAACATTTAGGCTTGTGGCAATGTGAATTAGCATGGGTTGCACCATGATGATTAAGGAATATAAACTCCCTCGCAGAGAATCTCAGAAATGCCAATGAAAGAAAAGTACTTGAATTTTTCTTACCACAAAAAATTAAATAATTAAAAGATAATAAAATCACTTGGTTTTGCTTTCTTTTAAACAATTTAGGATGGTGTCATTGGCCTTGGCCTTAAACTTATTCTTTTTATCTTTAAAAGGTAAATCTCTCTCTCAAAATAAATAAATAAATTAGAAAAGGAAAAGGAGTCTGAAATAAAAAGAAATAAAATGATAAGGAATCCCTCCTGCAAAGAAGCAAACCAGAAAGAAAGAAAGGAGAAGGTGGAGGTGGGGAACAAAGCAATGACGCCTCAACCTAACAAACAAAGTAGCAATAACAATCAATGTTGACAATGAGAAGCACCAGTTAGAATAGATGACAAATCCCCTTGTAATATAGTTTAGCACAATAATTTGATTTCTATTTTTGGGTCCAGTCTTCTCAAGATATACCTAAAGCATAATGTGAATGATCAGGAATGTGACGAAGTGCCAGGCATATCCGGTAACCATTTCAATGCTATCACTTTCCTATTTTTTGAAAACCAGCTAATGCTGTTTAATCAGATAGTCTTTTTGGGGGTTTCTTATGCACATCTAGAACTCTTCTGCTAGGTGGACATTGACCGTACAAGCAACATCTCAGTTTTGAAACAGATTTCTATCCCTTTTCGTTGAGACAAGTCGAATATCTAAACCAAGTCATGTATACTACTACTACCACCACTACAATAACAACAAAGCGTTTTTCCCAACTACTTGGGCTACGCTACATAAATCCAATTTTCAATTCTGCACTAAGGCATAGCCTCACTCAAACCAGAGGACTAAATGTTAGTACTAAATGATACAGAGAGGAGCAAGAAAGGAAGACCTGACGGCAATCATCCAGTCCTGCTACATGAACTTTCCTTCCTTGAACCCCAAGTGGATCTGGAGAAAGAAAAAAGAAAAAAAAGGAAAAGAAATTACAACTTCTTGATTGTCTTGACATGAAATGAAGAAAAAATAATAATTAAAAAAAAAAAAAAAGAAGGTAAAGATATCTTTGAACAAGCAAAGAAAGATAACTGCAAAATTAAGGCAAAAAGTAGAATCAAAAGAGGAGGAGGTTGAAATGCAAAATTGATCTACAAAATTATTAAGGCACCCAAGAAGGTTAAGAATTATGAAGAGCAATTTACTCCTTGTCAAGTACAAAGAATTTTTTTTTTTTTTTTTTTTTTTTTTTTTTTTTCACGAAGTACAATGAATTTGGAAAGCAGAAAAAAGAAATGAAATTGTCTTAAGCTACTCAAACTCCCACCCACCACACCGCACGCACAGAGAGAGAGAGAGAGAGCAGCATTACCTTGGTTTACAGCTATGACCTCCTTATTGCTAAGAATTTCGAATGTTTCGGCAGTCATGTTTCGTACATCACAACCAACTAAAAGAGGAGCCTGCACGTTCAAGCAACACAACTTTTAGTGCGCCAACAACTGAGAAGCGATGAACCTATTGTAAAGGACTCAAGAAGGTCAAAGGCAGCATGTTTGTTTGTTTTATGCTCTCCCTTGAGCAGATTTGAACCAGAAGTGAGGCCCATTTTCTTTTCCATCAAGTGCTAAAATACTGCCATAACGAAGCAAATAAATCTTAAAGGATACTAGCATTCAGAAATTTAGGCCGGAAGAAGGGTTGGGATACACATCTGAGAATGACACAACCATGCCAAAATAAAAATAAACAAAAAAACCAACAAACAAATGCTCATGTAACCAGCCGAATTATAATATTTATCTATGTAAGATTTAGAGAAGGGGGGTGGGGGGGGGGGGGGGGGGGGGGGGGGGTGGAGGGGAATAGAAATTAAAGGATATGTAAAATGGTTGCAATAACTTTGACCAAATTAAGAAAGCATGCTAGATAAATGGATTAAGTCCAATGAAAGGATCAAAAGCAAAACCATGAAGACAAATAAAGAATCAAAAAGTCAACAGAGCACCTTCATCAAAGCCCAGATGCTAAAATGTGCTCGGTACTCCTGATATGTCATGCCCCCATTACCAACTTCTAACATGTCTGGATCTGCCAGAAAGGTAGATATTGGAACAAAGATTCAGACTATGATACACAGGTGGAGCACTGACAGTCACACCTTCACTCAAGCAAACAACAAAGATCGCATCCTCACCATTCCAACCACCAGGTCCTGCGTAGGCTGCCCACTTGTCATTCAGGTCCGCAATGGTAGTCATGCTGAACAACAAAACAAGAAAAAGTCAGCCAGTATGACTTTTTGACGATGAAGAAACTGTCAGTGAATCTATATTCAAGCACACCCATAAACACACAGATTACTTGTTTTAATGTGTGAAACTTCTACTCGTGGTAAATTTGCATTTTTCCAATTGGAAACAAAGCTCACGCATCATACATTGGAGATGTCACAACCAAATGATCACAATGACAAGGACAGTGGTAGTGCATTATTTAAAAAGGTGAAAATCTTCATATGAAATGCATATGATAAGAAGTAAATCATCCTGGAAAAACTTAATAAATCATCAGAAGTCTGAAGGGCTTATATTCATGCAACTACGTTTATATTTGAGGATCCCCTACCCAACCCACAAACAAGCAATCTCATAGCATTTACAGCTGACACTTTTATTCGGGAACCATAAAGAATAAATATTGTACAATACACCATTAAAAATTAATAATTATGACTAATGTTGTTCAAGCAATTACTGTAATTTTTATTTGATTTCTCCCGGTTGACCTTAGAGATTGCTTCAAATTTATTGATGCAAACAATCTCCACGATCATTTCGGTCCACTGCACAAAACCCAAACCTAGTATTCAGGGTGAGGCATGTCATGCAATTAGTAGTAAAGAACTCCAACACAATTTTTCCCAAAACACCGTTCAGGTAGGAGAGAAGAGAGGAATAATTTTAAAAGAAATAGAGTAATTAGGAGGAAAGTATGTATCCAAAAAGACCATCACTCCAAAAGTGAGGAGATAGGCAGTGATTTAAAGAGAAGCATAAAACTAAAGCGCAAAGTACGAGTACATCAATAGGGTATGGATGAGTCCTGTTAGTACTCTTTCCTTTATCTACCTAAGTCTCTGAATGGACGAAAATTTTCAAACGTTTTCTTCTTTTCTCCTGAACTAATCAGGATGTAAAGGTGTTTGGATAAAAAAGGGGCCATTATTCAGCGATGTCTTGCTGATGCATGGTATTGGGAGGGGTAGACTAGATATAGACAATCATTAATATTATCTTCTGCACAAAGTGGCTACTTTTAGACTTAAACCAGTATTTTCACACTTGGTAGCTCGAGCATTTACCATTGCACCAGAAAAGGCCCTTCCTTAAGGTGTTTGATTATATATTGTCTTTTTTTTTTTTTCTATTAGTACACAAGGTGTCTAGTACTCATTTCTTTGTCAGGACTAATCCATATAGACACAGATCACCGACTAAAAAAGCGCATCATGTAAGGTCAGGAGATTTGAACATGAAATGTATTGTTCATGAGCCATTATCACCTTGATTCACCTCCCTGCGCCGGATCTTATAAATGTTCTTTGTTAAAAATGAGTAAATAAAAATTAAGGCTGTTTTTCCAAATTATCAATCACTCCTAGGCTGTAAATGGAAAAAGACTTGTGTTTCCCACAAAACAGTTAGGAAATGTATCAAGGACACTTTATAACAAGTGTTTTAGGTAAACTGTGATTTGTGGAACACAACAGCAAACAGCTGCCACAAGAGTATACCACCTAAGAACTAAAAGTCCAGAAATTCAGAACCTTGCCCATGAATCATTGATATCATCTGTTGTTCGCCAACTATTTCCAACTTTGTCTGCCCACAAGGCAGGGTCATCAACACCCCTGCCAAACCCAGAAAAAGAAAACCAATCAGTATCATTAATGTGCACATAAAAGACAGGCAAACAAAAGAAATTACCATTCACAAAGTGAATAGAAAATTGTACGCCCAGTCACATTTAGAGCATCACGCATTGGAGGGTATCTGGAAATTATGGAACCATGTCAAAATTAATTATAAATACAAAACTGAAATGCTTAAAAATTTAAAACGTAAACAAGACTAAAATTGCGATAGAACCTATTCTTTGGTGGGATGCCCAAATTATAACAGTTATCATACTTCAAATAATCCACACCCTGAAAAACAAAGAATGATATAATAGGAAGTTGTTGCCAAAGGAAAAAAAAAAAAAATTAGTGGTTGACTAATAAAAGACCTTGAACTATCACATTTTTGCAAATACCCCCAACATGGCAAACACCTCAAAATTTTTGAAATGTAGAGAGAGATAGATAGATTAGAATCAACCAAAATCGTTATATGAAATTAAACTGCAGATAAACTTGGTAAAAAATTGGCTCTTTCCATCACCTACATCATAGTTACCAGAGGCATTTAAACAAGTTGCACATTTAGTTGGAGAACAAAAAATCCAAAGACAGAAATTGGACTTTCAAGTTTTAGGAATTTGGTTTGCAGAGAACAAAGAGAGTCAAGAATGTGTAATTGGCAAATCAAAGAAAAAAGATAATTTTAAGAGGGGTATAATAGACCTTTTAATTTCATTAATAAATTAATTTTGTTTCTATTGTCAGGTCAAAATTTGGGCCAAAAATGGGTCTTATGTGGGTCAAATAGGATCAAAGAACATTTTACATAATGAAAAAGGTATAACATCACTGCAATCATATATGTCGTGCTTTTCAAGTGATTACATTTGTGTTTTGTTAGAAACGGTAAACTAATGATCAAAGGGTGATTGAAGTATTTAAATAACTTGGGTGATTGAAGTATTTAAATAACTTCAAGGGGTTATTTGCTGAAAAAATTAGTTGAGGGTCGTTATCCGCAAAAAAAAAAAAAAAATATAGTTTAAGGGTGCATTAAGCCCTTATTTAAATATAAGGGCTGGAATTCAAATGGGTCCATCATTTTTATCATATCAACTTGTATATGTTAATTTCAAATTGTTTCAAAGATTGTTCTAGGATTTTGAGATACATATCATAGATATTTCTATTAATGTTGGTAGACACTTAAATTTTTGGCAATAACTTTCCTAGAACAAACTATAACAGTTGAATTTCTTTCTTTGGGACTTGCAACAGCCCCTTCAGGAGACACCAAAAAAATGATATAGCCACTGCTAATATCCAGACAGAGATTTTTAGATTTCATAAGAAATATCACAAACTAACCCAAGAAGCAAAGAGCTCTGCATCATCATTTTCATGGTAAAGTGATCCAGGTCGAACTTCACACGTAAAAACACTATCAAATTCAATTAGAGGAGTCAGAAGAGAACAAGAGAAAGCAACAGCGGTACATCACATTTAAAATGAGAACAAAGCAATCATTTCATTATTGTCAAATTTAAATTATCCGACCCGGCATTGGGAAATTCATCCTACCCAGCATCAGAATAAATACCAAGCTTGAGCCCCTTTTCATGCACATAATCCGCAAGACCTTTAATTCCTGATGGAAAGTTTTTTGGATCAGGTACTAGTTGACCCTGCACAATTAACCAATCTACAATGAGAATCAATATGTAGGAATTTTCACATTTTACTATTTCTAGCCTTCACTTGCGATAATCTACTTTGTATTAGATGTGTGTGCATGTGTTTCTGTCGCAGCAATTACTGTGCCATGCTCAGATATCTATTTGGAAGAAGCTGCTCAAGGATGAAGTGTGTATTAAGCAAAGCAACCTTCAAAAGGTAAAGCAAACAAATATTATTTTTAGACATGATAAAGAGAGTGTTCTGCCATGAGAAATATATAATTATTTATTCAATTTATCAAGTATTGGAAAAAAAAATAACAACATTGTGAAAGCAAAGGAATTCACATTGACCTCTGAATTTCTTGTGAGATTAGACCAGCAATCATCTGCATTAGATGAAATCGAATGAGTTGAAAACAAAAGAAAGTTGTGAAGTGAGACTAAACACACAAAACATGTCAGAAAAATACCTATGTTGAGGTAAACATAGCCTAAATCAGCCAAACCAGTTGTGATAAGTGCATCGGCTGTCAAAGAGGGCAGATGTTAGTAGAGTTGGTAGAAGGACCAGGATCAAAAGAGAATCTGTGAGGCATATGTTAGTGGAGTTTGTATAGGGACCAACACCAAAAAAGAATCTGTGACATAAATATCAAATTTATGATTCTCAAACGAAGACTATACCAACCTTCTAACCCCAAAAGATTAGAAGAGAAAATCAAAAAAATAAAATTTGAAGAAAGAATATAGAAAAAATTTCATTAAGTACTGAAACTGTGAGTATGATTAGCATCCCAGTGTGGGTGTTGGGGATGGGTTTGCTCATGTGGGCATTTGAAATGGGGTGAAATGAGTGCGTGCGTGCATCTAACTACTTTTGAACAGCCAATCATCATTTTGATATATGTGTATGTGTAAATACAATAAATGCACCACTGCAGATGGGAGCTTGGACACTTCTGGTACTTTGAACTGTAGCAGATTTTTTTAAAATAAATAATATGAAATGGCTAAAAAAATGATGCACATGAGATTTTTTTCTTGGGATGGGATATGGGACGGGTTTAGCTGTTTTTGTTACTTCCAAGCTCTTTAAAATGACAGTTCCAATTGAATGGTTTAAACAGCATGGATGTGGCTATAGAAGCATTGAAACACCCTGGCAATAAATCATTCCCCTATTTTTCAGTAAGCATGCCAACATTGATATACCAAACTACAAATGAATATACCATTAATTCCCAAATTGTTTCAAGCAATTGCACATGAAAATGAGCGAAAAAATTTCTCAAAGGAAAGACTTGGAACCCGTCAATTATCCTCAGTTTGAACTCATTATCATTTGTATCCTCAAAAAATTCAGAAATTTCTCGAGTGCGTTCGGAGTCATTTAGCATTTATCACAAATATCAAATTCCTCCGAGTTCCCTTTTATAACAATGTCCCAATTTTTTCATTATGAAATGCATTATTTAACAAGACAATGCCAAATCAGAAAATGTATGCATGTCCCAAATTTTCCTACTCGAAATGCATGACTAATCCAAAAATACAATGTCAGTTCCTAGTCCAACTAAGGTGTAAAAATAAATAAAAAATAAAATTACCTGTCTCCTTGACTAATGTTTCATTGATATTGCAGGCAAAAAAATTCCAGCTATTCCACCTGCCCCACACATAATCAAATCAAATAACTTATAACAACAGGATTACTACCAAAGAAATTTTCGGAACGTGACTGAGACATTAGCTTCATAACTTGTTAAAGAAAATCAAACTAAAACACAATACAGAGCTCAATTACCAGTTATGGTATATAAATCTGCACATAAATAGATGCACAAACACACGCACACATACACAAAGCATCATCTGTAAATTGGTTATGACTACAACAATCTTTACAATCCCAAAATTATAGCAATCGTTTAATAAAGTCCATTGATTTCTTTCTTGAGATGTCAATAATGTCCCAGGATAGAAACATCAAAACTCAACTGATCGAAACAATACAAGGTTTTGAATCTTCTTTTGACTTTGGACCCAACAATTAAAGAGAAATTTTAAAATAGAAAACCAGTATAAAAGAAGAAAAGAGGAGTAATCAGTACCCCATCTGAGGAGTTAGAGCCAAGCCATTGTCGAGGTTGAGTATGCCATACTTGGAAGTATCGAAAATACTGGAAATGGGATTTTCATAATTTTGCAAGAGAGGTTGAATCGACACCACTCGTGCTGTGACCGTGAAGGAGATCGTCGATAGATATAGAACCACTATATATACAAACACTGTGAGATTCATCTTCTCAATTGCTACTAGTCTCACCCTGTCTCTCGTTCAAAACAATGAGAATAGATTAGAGTTGAATTTTACAGGCCTTTTTAGCTTAGGCCGTTGTTTTATATACTACGTAATAGAAATAAGATATGGATATAGATATAGATATAGATATGGAAATAATATTTATACGGACTAGTTTTCTAATAAAAAAATTTTGGAGCAATTATATCATGATATCACCCTTATATACTTACTATGAGGTCTTCCATTTGATTTCTATTACAATGATGTTGGGCTCAAAGATGAACCAAGTTATAGTGTTGATTCGCACCATATGAGTTCATTTAATGATTGTAATACCGAACCTCTTTGCGAACAAAAAAATAAATAAATAAATAAAAGATAGAGTTTTATTAGAGATTTGTAATTAATTTAAATTTGACGAGTGAAGAGAGGAAATAGGAGAGGTGCCGAAAATTCGAATAATATTTTAGTCTTCACCCGTAAAGATATACATTATCTGATTATTGATGTGAACTAATTAATAATATATAAACACATTTTTTTTAATTATCAAATCATAGATAGTATAATAAAGTACTCACCTACCAAATAAGAGAGGGTGTATTAATTGTTATCTTTAATTTAAAAATTAAAAGAATACTTGTTTATTTGTTATTGATCCATATCTTCAAAATTGTATATATTCTCACTAATAAAGACTTACTTATTATCCAAATCGAAATATGCATATTTGTAATTAATTTCAATTTGATTGGTTAACAGAGAAAATAGGAGGGGTGTCCAAATTTATTATAGCGAATAATGAATATGCCCTTCAATGTGGCTGACGTGTTTCAACTTCCAACTCAATCCAATATGCTGCATTCTGATTTGGTGTTGACGACTTTGACAGGTAGGTTTTTTATTTGATTAATCGGTGTTTAGAATGGGAGTGTGACACGTTATCACTTGGCAATGATGGTGTGAGCCAACTTGGCAATGGTGGTTTTTGACACTGCAATTCATCCAATCAAGGCCTCTCTGGATGGCAAGAAAGAGAGGGGAGCTGAAAGTGACACTCAAAACAAGTCATGTAATTGCCAAAGTTTTCCTCATCTTTGCGTAATGGACAAATAAATTGTAATATAATATATATATTGGCAATAATACAACAGTGCCACACTATTGTTTATGAATTAAAATAAGAGTCGGAGCGACAACAAATTTAAAAACGGGACGTAAAAATGACAAAATTAAGTTATAAATAGTGGCACCCGATAAAAAAAATTGTGTGACTTAAATATATATTCCAAATTGTTATGTAATTATACCTTTAACAATACTGCACTAGAACTTTGAAATTAGAATTTGAATCTCTCCCTTCTATTGCTCACTTGACCAACATAATTAATATAGGACGTCTTATCTAGTACCAATCTTGTTTGAAAGACCTAAAAAAATATTCAGTTTTACACTTAGTGATATGATTTGGACGGTTTGTTATTAAAATTTTCTACATTGAAACCTTATTATATAATATTGCTCTGATTTCTTATAGATCATCAAATGACTGTCCCACAAGTAAGGTAGAGTAATATTTGAGCTTGGATGCATGGTTGGCAATATCGGTCACTATCGCGATCGCTTTGTAATGGACTCCAACAAATTTAGTGTAAATAGGCCGATACGGATCGAGTTTCAAATGATACGGCGAACCAAAATTGGATGTCAAGTGGAGGAAATAAGTGAGAAGAAAAAAAAGAGAAGGATGGAACTCCAATTGCTTGGTACTTTGCCAGAGGGGGAGATGGATAGGAAAGGAAGGAGATTTGATTCCATCTAGTGGATGGGAAAATAAAGGATAAGCATATTTCTTCTCCTTTTTACTTCTTTTTCCTCTCAAAGTAGTAGTATGAAATTTTTTTTCTTTCTATATTTTACAAGAATGACTGTCAAAGTTCACATAATACACATTTTCTTTCTTCTTGCCGAACCAAACAGCATGAGACAAAAGCTCTTTTCTTTATCTATGTATATTTATTTTATTCCCTCCTACATTCTTTTTCATTCCCTTTTTCATCTACCAATTGAAGCATAAATCATGTTGGGTTTGAATCTGTAATGTATATTATATTATTTAATTTAATACAATTTTCATCACTTCTAACATGGTAGCCAGACCTTTTAAAATTTTGTCAGGGGCCGATTTTTAATTTATGGGTGCAAATTTATATAATGGGTCCATTTTTTGTAATTTTAATGGAGTCATCTTCATAAATTCTTAAAAGATTAAAGTATAAAATGCAAAAAAAAAAATAAATAAATAAAAAATTCCAGTGAGGGTGAATTGTAATTTAGTAAGGGCATCTTCATAAATTTACAAAAGGTTGAAGTATAAAATGTAATAAAATAATTCCAGTGGGGGCAAATTGTATTTTAATGGGGGCATATTCATAAATTTCTAAAAATTTAAAGTATAAAATGCAAAAATAAAAAATCCAGTGGGAGCATCTTGATAAATTGTAAATTTCCGAAAATTTCGACTTTTCCCTTCTTTGTTTTCCAAAAATTTATGTTTTTTTTTTTTTTTAATAACTTTAGAATTTCTAATGATTTATTTTTTGAATCTTATTTTATACTGAATCTTTACATTATGACTAAGATGAATGCAAACATTAACAAGAATAAAGTTTATAAGCTTGAATTTGGCAAACATAAATATGGTCTCTTTTTATGCTTAAAATTTGAAGCAGCCCAAGTGTAAACAATCATTTGGGCAGAGCCCAAGTCTAAACAATCATTGGGCAGAGCCCAAGTTAGTGATGCTTTCAACTTTCTGGAATTTCATCCCCAAGGGTGCAAAATTCAATCCCATCTCCTGGCCTGATAACTTTGATCAATTAAGGGCCTGTTTGGTCAATGGTAAGCGTTTTGTTTTTGGTACTTTTGTAGAGACGGCAACGGGAGTGATTTTGGGCAGGGGAAGGTATCCCATGCCCCGTTTCTGCCCAAAATTGCTTAAACGGGGCCTTTCCGTCTCATTACCGTCCCGTTTAACCTTTTTTAATCCCCGGGCACCCTCACGGGCCCGTTTAATTTGAGAATTTCTCCTCATTTTTAATTTTTTTTCCTTCAAATACAATTATATAGCTATTAAAAAAAATCATAAGAGTTGAACAATTAATAATTTAACATAAAATTCAAGGATATGAGCATTCTTAGTTTGTAAGATTATGCCGATCTCTAAAACGGTTGAGAAAGTGAGTATATGTGACTTAGGTTTCTAGAACTAAATATATATACTAATAAAATAAGGGTATATAATTTACTAATTTAACTACACGGGGCGGGATGACCTCTCGATTTTCATTAATAAACATCATTCTTACCTAAATAAGCTAAACAATTTTCCAAAATCGCTATAAATGGGACGGTACCCGTTTCAGTGGGACAAATTGTCATCCCTATTTTTGTTTTTGTCGTACTGTAGCATTGAATAGTGAAACAAAATACGTTTATTAAAAAAATATTTTGTTTTAAGCTATGACGAAATGTTTTGTGGATAATGACCAATATGAAAACATCAATTTAGTATTTTTACATGTTTTAGTACAGTAAAAACGAATACCATAGCGATAAACAGTAAAAAGAAGAAGAAAAGAACAGAGCAATCATTTCATTATTGTCAGAAGAGAACAGAGCAATCATTTCATTATTGCCAAATTTAAATTATCTGACCAGGTATTGGGACATCCTACCCTGATGGAAAGTTTTTTGGATCAGGTACTAGTTAACCCTGCACAATTAACCAATCTAGAAATATGTAGGAATTTTGACATTTTACACTTGTGATAAACTTCTTTTGTATTAGACGTGCGTGCGTGTGTTTCTGTCACAGCAATCACTGTGTCATTTTCATACAGTATGTATATTTGGAAGAAGCTGCTCGAGGATGAAGTGTGTGTTGGAGCAAAGCAACCTTGAGAAGGTAAAGCAAACAAATATTATTTTTAGACATGATAAAGAGAGTGTTCTGCCATGAATAATATGCAATTATTTATTCAATTTATTAAGTATTGGAAAAAAAATAATAATAACAACAGCATTGTGAAAGCAAAGGAAATCACATTGACCTCTAAATTTCTTGTGAGATTAGACCAGCAATGCTTTCGATTGTTATTCTAAGACAATCTATGTGATACCCCCGAATTTCCGAATGTGGGTTGGCCAGGCCCACGCCCGAATACCCGAGGATATCAAAACAAATTGATAATAAACGAACACAGAGTACAAAAGAATAAAGAAGAATAAATAAAATGCTGACAAGAAACTAAAATGATAATCTAATAATAAACCTCATAATATATTTCCATTAATTAATAAAGTCTTCTGATAAAACTGATCCTCCAAAATACAACTCGGGAATCCATACTGTGTGGACCCCTAGAAAATCCAAACTAAACAAATGACAGTATTCTAAAACAGGAAACTGAATCATAAAGGAACTCCTATGTAACATCGGAAGAATGAAGTAGATTGATCCCCGCTCAGCACGAACAACCTCTACTCGTGACGAACACCTGAAAAACAATGGTGGGTCAGGCCCACAAACAAGTTCTACTTTACTACAGTCCAAGCAGAGATCCGATACACGTATACATCCTAGTCAATCCAACAGTAACTAGTAGTCCGTATATATATATATACACACTAAAGGAACCTCACTAGACTATAGGGTTGTCTCAACCTGAATAGTAGGCAACATGCAAAACGCACATATAGTGGGCATGAGTACCTAGACCTACCAGGGTACACAACTACACTATATCTAGCTACACATCCCTGGCGATATACGCACCCTAACCACTGATCCTGAGACTCAAGCTCATATCATGGCACCATACTTATATATATAAAATCTAGTGACCATCCTATCCAGTATAAATTAATCCTCCATAAGTCATTCAACTTGTTCAGCTGACCTGACTTGAATATAAGTAGGACTTAATATTTTAGTTAATCCATTCCCTTATATAATAAATTAATCCTCTATAAGTCATTCAACTTGTTCAGCTGACCTGACTTGAATATAAGTAGGACTTAACATTTTAGTTAATCCATTCCCTTATAT